CTGTCCTTCACCCCCTTGTGTCCCCCAGGCCCACAGCCTCGCCAGCATGGGCAGGGCTCGCTAGAGGCCATTATAGGATGTGCCAGTGGGCCCCAAGGCTCAAACTGGGGCACTGTCGTGCCTGACTGTTGCCACAGCCCACCCGCCTCCCCACCCTATTTCTTCTGTGCTGTTGTCTGTATTGCCTGCCTCACTGAGGCCACTGGCTGACTTTCTAGGAACAGATAGGATCTGCTCCTCCAAGGTCAGGCCCCGTACCCCGGCATCCAAGGCCCTTCCCACTCCAGACTCAGAAATGATCCCACATTTCCGCCTCTTCCTATCTCTTGATCCCTTGCAGGACACGAGTCCCACACTGATTCTGTCAGAATATACCTAGATTCCCAAGACTTCCCACACTAGCCGCCCTACAGCCACTCTCTGGCCTGGCTCCTGCCATAGCCTACCTGTGAGGGCCCCCGATGAGTCTTGTCTTGCCCCTTGGTTCCCTGAGTCCCTTCTCCAAATAATAGGCAAAGTGATCTTTGGAAAATACAAATCTGACCATCACACGATAGAATATAAAACTTCTAACTGCTTTTGAGGCCTTGCATGTCCCCTTCACTGGGGAGGCCCTATACCCTGGCCCTCATGTCGTACAGGCCTCTTGACACCTTGAAACTCAACCACACCTGCCCCAGGACCTTTGCACATGCTTTTCCACTTCTGTTTGTAACTTCAGGGCTCATTCCTGTTCATATGTGGGTGGTCCTTTCCCATTGTAGGAGCTCAGCTCAAATTTTTCATTCTCAGAAAACCCTGAATGGCCCGCAAAAACAAAAACAAAAACAAAAACAAAACACCTCAAGACTTTGTTAATAATACCACTAGATGTATTATATAATGATTGCTTGTTTATTCATTGTCTGTCTGTTCCACTAGAATGTAAGCTCCAGGAGGGCAGGGCCCCTGTCTTGTTCCCCGTGGTGACTCTCCTGCCTTTCACAGGGCCTGGTATGCAGCAGGCACCCAATAAATGCGTGTGACTGAAGAAACTTTCAGACCCCTTTCAGCCTCACCTCCCACTACTTCCTTCCTCCTCCTTTACCCCCATGGCATTGTATGTACCACTCCCACCCCAAACTTCATGCTGGCTCCACCCTAGCCCACCCATCTCCATTCTCAGGTCCCCTCCCTCTTTGCCAAGCTGGGACCATGATCCCCTGGCGGTTTGTCTGCCAGGCTGGACTGAGCTCCCCATGCCTGGAGCACATGCCTCTGTGGTCACCAACGCAGGGATCCCGAGACTCAGAGGTTGGGCAGGCCACACCGTCCTCCCTTCAAGCGTAAGGTTTTCACGTCTCGGGGGTTTTCTGGCCACTGAGTTTTTCAGGTCCTTGACTGCCCTGTTCTTCCCCTTTTGAGAACCGGGAAAGGCCCGGCGCCGTGGCCCTCAGCCAGGGCCTGACAAGGACAGTGAGCTGCATCTGACATCAGCTGCTGCAGAAGCTCAGGCTGAGGCCGCAGAGGTCAAGTGACTTGCTCCCAGTTGCACCGGAACTGATGCTGAGATGCAAGCCCTGAGCCTCCCTGGGGCCTAGCACAGGGAGCATGTGATTCCGTGTCCTGGGTGCTGGGTCCCAGAGCTGAGGGGCTCTGGGGTCCCTGGAAGCTAGTAGCAATCCTGTGTAGCCAGGACGGGGTTCCCATCAGCAGGAGTGGCTCAAGTTGAATCCCATCCACGTGAGAGACTCCTCTCTTGGGGCCCTGTGCTTCGGGGCAAGGTGCTATGGAGGTCCCTACTGAAGCCTTTTGAGGTCCTTAAACCCCCTCCCCTCCACCCAGAGAGATGCAGAGGGGCAGGAAGGCTTCTAGAAGCAACAGCCTCTGCGGGACAGGAAGGGACCTTGTTGCTGCCCCAGGCCCACTACAGCAGAAGCAGGAGGAAGTGACTGGCCCAAGGTCACCCAGCCACTCTCCGTGCACTGGAAACCAGCCCAGCCCCTTCAGTCCCCTCCCTCTCCTAAGATCTTAATCAGGAATTTTCCACAGCAGCCCCAGGCCAGGGTGATAGGAATGGTGCAGGGGTGTGAGGCAGCTGTGATTCTCTCAGTCAAATAGCAGCCAGAGAGGGTGATAAGATCTACCCCAAGGCCCCATAGGGAATCAGTAACTCACAGCCCCCCCAGATCAGACAGCAGTGAGGGCTGGAGGGGGGGGAGCTTTGACCACGTGGGGGCCAGCCGCAGACCTCACCTTGGGGCTTCTGTCCTACTGGTTGGAGGGACTGGACCTCCGGGAAGGGGGTGGGCAAACTGAGGGAGATTAAGGGGAGCCCAGAGAAGACCTTCGTGATCCTTTTAGCGTCATCGTTGAGGTCCTCTGTCACCTCCATGCCCACCTGAGGTGGCAGAACCCCCTGCAAAAGCACCTTCCACGCACCCCAACCTGGGTCAGTCCCCGTCTCTGTCAGTCCCTCTGCTGTCTGGCAAGAGTGTCCCAGCCGGAAGGGCGATTCCCTAACATGGTCAGCATTTCCACCTGCCCCTCTGCCTGGCCTTGCAGCTGGACACTCCTGGATAGGAGCCGGGGGCCAGGCCAGCCCGGGCCCTCTGCGAGTCCCCCGCCCACCAGTGCTGGCCAGGTCTAGAGCCCCAGAACACCCCGCGTCTGGGGCTGGCACTCTGCGGGCCTTTGCAGGCTCCGAGAGGCTGGGGCGGGAGAGAGAATGTCCGCCCGTCCTCCAGAGCCGCTGGGGCCTGAGCAAAGCCACGTCCAGAAGCTGGGGTTGGCGGTGGTTGAGGCCTCCCTCTGTCTCCTGGTTGGTGGGGGTGCGGGGGTGACGCATGGTCCGAGACTCAGTCAGGGTGTCTCCCCCACCTGGGCCCTCCTTCCAGGGCCTCCCAGCCATGGCCGCCCGCACCACAGAGCGGGGTGGGTGGGGTCACCGGCCCCCACTAACTCACCAGCACGGGCTCCACTGTCCCTCACAGCCTAGCGGGTGGGAGGTCAGTCAAGGTTTGTTGGGTGAATGACTGAAAGGTGTGAGACCCTGCGGGTGGGGGCGGGGGTGTGACAGTGTGAGGCAGTGTGAGCTGCTCCCGGGGGAGGTAGACCTGAAGCCAGGTGAGCACGGGGGCTTTCACAGCCGCCCCAGGGCTGTCACCTGAGGGGAGCGGAGTTTGGGGTGGGGGGTACGCAGGACGGGCCAGAGGGAGGCGCGGGCTGCCATGTAGACACAAAACCTGGCCGACCCAGGACGCCAGGCAGCAGTGGCCCTTCAGAGCTGGAGACAGCACCCCAGACTGTCCCCTAGCACCATCATGGGTAGGGGTCTCCTGGGGGGAAGGAGGCACAGCTGTCAGGCCGAGCGCCCTCCCCACGGAGCTCCCCTGCACCCACCACACTGGCCATCCCCTCAACCATCACCCACCTGTCTGGCCCCCCACAACGCCCACTTCCAGGACTCAGCTGTCTCTGGTAACCATGTGGCTCCCCCAGACCCTCAGTGTCGCTCATGGCGGGGCCTCGGGGCTCCCCAGAACTGGAGCTACCTGGCCCAGGGCTGTGGCAGGGCCTTCGCCCCCTGGGCCTCTGTCGCCCAGGGCCTGGGGTGCCCTGTCTGGGTTGGGAAGACACCCTGTGCCCTGGAGGCTGTGCCCTGGGAGGTTCTGGGTGCGTGCACCTGGGCCCGGCTGCCCGCAGCCCTCAGCAGCTGAGGAGCACATCTGGCCACCTGCTGAGCTCCCGCCGGGGGTCCGTGTCCATCATGACGACTGAGGTGTCTCTGGAACAACATTGAATTAAAAAAAAAATTGAATTAAAAAAAATATGATGGTTTATTTATTTAAATTTATTTATTTATTCATACAGAACTGGGGTACAGGCCAGAGATGTGGAGAGTGATAGGATTCACCAGAGACAGAGTGGGGAGCAGAACAGGCAGATTGGCGAAGTCCACTGCTGAGGGGAGCAGCGGGCGAGTCAGGAGAGTCCTGCCACGCCATGTGGTCACCTCCGGGGCAGGCGGGGATCAAACTCATGCAGAAGTGGCTTTAGCTTCTTAATACTGTGCTTTAACCCGCTGCGCCACCAGGGAGGGCTTATAATGGTTTATTTTTACATCACTTTGTGCATATTTTCATCTCAGTTGTAATCCCCATGGACTTCCAAATCACCCTATACCATCACCATAGTCCAGTGCACTTCCCGCCCCTCACTGTTTTTGATCCCATTCCCCACTCCACCTCCATGAAATGTCTCTGGTATATAGCTGTTCATCATTATCATTATTTTCTTGCCTGTTCTGTTATATTCCTGTTATGAGAGAAACCATCAGGATTTTCCTTTTTCCTTCTGGCTTATTTCACTAAGCCATGATCCCTTCCAGCTCCATCCATGTTGCTGCAAAAGGCATATGTTCATCTTTTTGATTGCTGAGTAATATTCCATCGTGTATATGTACCGCATCTTTTTCATCCAGTCATCCACTTTTGGGCATTTGGGCTGTTTCCATGTCTTCCCTATTATAAACAAAGCAGCAATAAACATGGGGGTGCAGGTGCCTTTTTGAATCAGTGTTTTGTGTCTTTTGGGGAGGCGTGGGATTGCTGGGTCCTGTGGAAGCTCCAACACGTGTATCTGACAGCGTCAAACCACTCACCTAGTCAAAACTGCTAAATAAACAAAAATGCCATAAAATAAACACATTTTTACACCAGAGTCTTTGAGGTTACTAGGCCATCACTGTGGCCCTCATGGGGCCCAAAGGTCCCCTCTGGACACTGCCTTCCACGGCCAGGGGCCCGACGCCCCCTTCCCGGCTCTGCGCCAGCCCAGCCCTCCCTGTGCCAGGTGGGGCGGGTCTGTGGAGCGTGTGGGCCGGGCAGGTGCGTGTCCGCACCTCTCGCATGCCGGGACCCTGCTTGCCAGTTCTGGGCGGTTTGGGCCAACCTCCTTGCCTCCCCCTGCTGGGGCCCAGCCTATAAAGCCACCCTGAGTGTCCCCAGCGACCCTGCCCCCTCCCAGCCACCCAGACGGCCATGGCAGAGCAGCTGGCACCGGAGCTCCCTGGGGACACTGCCGTGTGCAGCGGGCGCTTCACCATCAGTACTCTGCTGGGGAGCGAAGAGCCCCCACCGCCGGCAGCCTATGACAGTAGCCACCCCAGCCACCTGACCCATGGCAGCACCTTGTACATGCGCACCTTCGGCTATAACACCATCGACGTGGTGCCTGCCTATGAGCACTATGCCAACAGCGCCCTGCCGGGCGAGCCCCGCAAGGTCCGGCCTACACTGGCCGACCTGCACTCCTTCCTCAAGGTAAGCGCTGTCTCAGAAGACTTGCCCTGCTTTGCTGTGTGACCTAGACCCAGTTACCTAACTTCTCTGAGCCTTGATTCTGTTGTCTGTGACGTGGGGCAAGCGTCTCCCTCCTAGGTCTAGAGGCACAAACAGAACATGGGCGTGGAAGTTGTAAAACTCTGGACACGGGTGGTAGTAATGTTTCCTGCATGGTCACTGGCCTGCCCCAGGCAGACTGGGCAGTCCAGAGGCCGCGAGTGCCGGTCACAGGAGCAGGCAGACAGAGGTTCACACCGGGGAGAGAAGGGGCCAGGAAGACTTGTATCACAAAGGGGGCTCCCTGGGTTTGCTGTCTGGGAAGCTGGACTTTGGGGAGGGGGCGGGGCAGGCCTGGCTGCTGCCTGCCTGGACCCCTGCTGGCCTGACCAGGCTCTGGGCTCCCAGCAGGAGGGCAGCCACCTGCACGCGCTGGCCTTGGACAGCCGGCCCAGCCATGACATGACTGATGGGCTGGTGGAGGAGCAGGGAGCCCCCTGCTCCAGCAGCGAGAAGACCCCCGGCGAGCCCGTGCGCTTTGGCTGGGTCAAGGGGGTGATGGTGAGTGGGGTGATGGGTGTTGGCTGGGTGTTGACTCTCAGACCTTGGCAGACCGGAGGCCTAACTGATTTCCCATCTAGATGAGGCCTCAATTTTCTCTGGCTTTGCGTTTCCTGACCTCCATATATTCCCAGACTACTTGGTTACTCACTCACTTGCTACTTAGCTACTCACTAGTAGTTCCTCAGTGTCCTCATTTGGGAAGTGAAAGCATTAAGTGAAAGGAACAGACATAACCTGCTAGTCAATTCCTACTGGGCGTTAGCAGAAACGGTTCCTGCAAAAGGCCACGAGGGGGCAGCACGAACACAGCCAAGAAAGGCTTCCTGGGCGTGATGGGAGGGACGGTCTGGGCCCAGAACAGCGCAGACCGGTCCCCAGACAGTGAAGAATCGCGGGAACCCGCTTTGAGCCCCCCTACACTCTCCCCTCCCCCCCCCGCCGTGGATGAATGTCACCCACCCCAAGACACCGCTAAGCCCCAGACCAGCCAGCCACTCCCGCCTGGGAATTTCAGCCTCAGCGGAAGCCCCTGGCTTTGCTTTAAACGTGGGAGCTGCAGCCACAGCCAGCTGAGCCCTGGTTTCCGCTTGGATGTGGCTAGTGGGCATTTGCCGAGCTCCCCTAAATGCCAAGTCTTCCAGCAGCTGGCCGCTGGGGCCAGGGTCCTGGGTGTGGAGCCGGTTGAGGGGCAATAATGCCAGCAGCCTGTCCTCAGGCCTCCGAGGGTGGGCAGAAAGGGCGGAGGTGCTGGGTGCCCCTCCCCTCCCGGGGAGCCCAGAGAGGACCCAGGCGTCCCCAGGCCCCCGCGCCTGAAGCCATGCAGGACAAGCCCTCGTGCACTTGACCTCTGGGTGTCCAGCCCACCCAGGTGACCCTGACCCCCTGTCCTTCAGATCCGGTGCATGCTCAATATCTGGGGTGTGATTCTCTACCTGAGGCTCCCCTGGATTACTGCCCAGGCGGGCATCGGTGAGTGGCACTCAGGGGGCGGGGAAGGTGGACACAGGCCTGGCCCTCGGAGCCCCCTGGGGCAACAACTGCAGGCCCTGAAGTGACCGAGGACGGGCTGGTGGGCGGGGGCCTCCAGGCGTGGAGTGAGCAGCTGGGAGCCTCCTGCCTCCATTTCCCCTCAGTAAGTGGTTATCTCGCAGGCCACTTGGGTCAGGAACTTGAGCTGTGGACAGGCCAGGAGGCAGATCCCAGCTGTGTACTGTGCTGCGTGATCTTGCACATGTTTCTTAACCTCCCTGAGGCTTGGATTCCTGATCGGTAAAAATGGAGGCGAACACATCTGAACCTCACAGCCTCTAGCGTGGGCTTCTATGATGCACGTAAAACAGAGCCCAGGATTTGGTCCCCTGAAGGGCTCATCAAGTAGCTATTACTTTTTTTTTTTTTTTAAGATTTATTTATTGATGCATACAGAACTGGGGTACAGGCCAGAGGTGCAGGGGCGGCGAGAGGACTTACCAGAGACAGAGTGGGGAGCAGAACAGGCAGATCGACGAAGTACACTGCTGAGGGGAGCAGCGGGCGGGTCAGGAGAGGTCTGTGGTGCCCTGTGGTCACCTCTGGGGCTGGGATCCAACTTGCACAGAAGCGGCTGGGGCCGGCTTGCAGTGCTTTGGTAAACTCGCTGCGCCACCAGGGAGGGCCCTAGAGACCCCAATGCTCAGCCGAAGTTCCGAGAGGGAGCTTGAGTCGTGGGGGACAGTCGGCTGATTCCTGCGGCTCCGCACTCGGGAGGTGCCCAGGGAGTGACCAGGCCCTCCCCACAGTCCTGACCTGGCTCATCATCCTGCTCTCTGTGCTGGTCACCTCCATCACGGGCCTCTCCATCTCGGCCATCTCCACCAACGGCAAGGTCAAGTCAGGTGGGCCCACCCCCACTCCTGCCTGGCTTACCGCCCCCCATCTTCCCTCGCGGACGCCCCAGCCCCACCCAACCTCCTTCTGCTTCCAGCACAGACTTTGGGAGCCCTCCACCCCCCAGCGGCCCTCTGCACCCCACGGTGACCCCTCTCCCGGCCGCAGCAAGCACCTGCCCACGTCCACCCCGGTCCACGGCTCCGGGTTCATGGCTCCTGGCCCTGGTCCCCACAGGCGGCACCTACTTCCTCATCTCCCGGAGTCTGGGCCCAGAGCTAGGCGGCTCCATCGGCCTCATCTTTGCGTTCGCCAATGCCGTGGGCGTGGCCATGCACACCGTGGGCTTCGCGGAGACGGTGCGGGACCTGCTTCAGGTGAGGCTGGGCCCGGCCCGGGGCCCGACTGTGCCCATCAGGGAGCAAGGCCACCATCCCACCGTGGGGCGACAGTGACAACCTCATGGAGACACCCAGCCGTCCCCGTCAGGGCTGGTGGCCCTGGGGCCAGACTGCCCGGGCCGCCACAGTAGCGGCTTCGGCTGTCTGCGTGTCCTGCGAGGGGGTCCCCACAATGTGGACGCGGGCGGGGGACCGGGCAGGGAAGGCAGCCGGCCCATGTGCCCCCAGGAGTACGGCTCGCCCATCGTGGACCCCACCAACGACATCCGCATCATCGGTGTGGTGACCGTCACCGTGCTGCTGGCCATCTCCCTGGCCGGCATGGAGTGGGAGTCCAAGGTGAGGAGGGCCCGGCCGGGCAGGGTGGGCGGCAGGGCGGCGGGGCTGCAGGCCTGGGTCCCGCTCGCTGTCCTCTCCTGACGTGCTGGCCTTGACGTTGCCCTGGACACGGACCCCAAGCAGACACCCTGCCCAGAGCAGCTTCTCGCAGGTGACCGCCAGGGGCCTGTGGGCCAGGGGCTCGGGTGGCCGGGTCCTTCCCTTCTGTGGCCTCTCTGTCCCTGGCGTGTGGCCCTCCTCCTGGCCCGGGACGGCCACCAGGTTCGCGGTCGGTCAGCCGAAGGGGCAGCTGGGGACAGGAGCGGCTTCCCGTCGCCTTCCCTCTGGCTCTGGTCCCGTCCCATCGTGGGACCAGTCTGGCGATGGTTCTGCTCACCCGGCTTCCCACTCTCTCCTTGGAGACCCTTCCCGGCCTACCCCCCCCCCCCGGCATAGGGGCACACCCCAGTCCCACCGTACCCCCGTTCCCGCTCTAGTCATGATCAGCGAGACAAGAGCCTTGCTGCGGCCCCAGCTCCGGACGTCACGGGTGTCGAAGAGCAGGCCCCTGGGGCGCCCGGGACCCCTGTGCTCTCTCAACCCCTTTTCCTGCAGGCCCAGGTGCTCTTCTTCCTGGTTATCATGGTCTCATTTGCCAACTACTTGGTGGGAACCCTGATCCCCCCATCTGAGGACAAGGCCTCCAAAGGCTTCTTCAGCTACCGGGGTTCGTGCACATTGGGGCCCCTGGCTCTGGGGGCAGGGACATCTGCCCGCCATTCTGGGGTCCCCGAGGCTGGGCCCCTCGACCCGGTGGCCTGGAGCCCGCCGGGCCCTCCAGTGAGAGCCGGGCTCTGACTCATGCCTTGGTTTTCCAGCCGACATTTTTGTGCAGAACTTGGTGCCTGACTGGAGAGGCATAGACGGCAGCTTTTTTGGGATGTTCTCGATCTTCTTCCCCTCGGCCACAGGCATCCTGGCAGGGGCCAACATCTCTGGGGACCTCAAGGTGAGCAGACACCGTCCCTGCCCCTCCTGGCACTGACCTACGGGTCTCAAGCTGGGCACGAGCCGGGCCGGAGGTTACCGGACCAGGCAAAATGCAGCCTGTCCGGTTCGGCCGTCCAATCCAGGCCCCTGTCGCCCCCCTCCCGCCCTCCTACCCCAGTGCTTCTTCGGGCTCTCAGTGGGAGAGCTGTTCTCTCGGCCTCGGGTCCAGTAATGGACTCGCCCCTCCCTCGTTCCCAGAACTCTTGGCCTAAGCGAAGATTGCCCAGCTCATCCTTCCAGAACTCAGAGCCGTGTGTCCTTGCCTGCTTGACCTCCCCCCAGGGCCTGCACTCTCCTTGAAGGTGGTGCAGGCAGGCACCTGGCATTCAGAGCCCCAGCTCACCCCCCCAGCCCCCCACCCCTGCTGCTGTCCCGTGGCCCTGCCCCCAGCCCTGAGGATCCCACAGCTTTGCCCAGGGGACCCCGTCCCTCCTCCATGACTTTGCTCTGCTGTGACCCTACCTGGGCTCCCCACCCTGCTTCTCTGTCCCTCTCCCTCCACTCTGGTGACCCCAGCCTCTGGCGAGAGGCCTCTGTGTCTGACTCCCCGCGGAGAGGCCACACACGCTCAGAGCCCAGGGCGTGTGTTGGGGGTGAGTGGTCAAAGGCCACAAACCGGCAGTGTTACAAAGGCGGGAGAAGGGGGCTCGGGCAAACCGCGGGCGAGGCCGGCTGCGCTGGGGCTTGAAGACAAGCAGGTGTGGGGCGAGTCAGTCGGTGGGCGGCTGGGCACTGCCCGCCATGCCTGGCCCCGCCTAGATGGGCTCGTGGCGCGCTTTCCTTCTGAAGTCAGGGAAGACTGTGCCTTGGAGACGCCGGGCCTGTCTGGGTCTCCATGGATACCCCCAAGTGCCACCCGGGCCCTGAAATCAGAGCACCCGGTTTGTGGGGCGCCTCTCCCTTCTCTGGGGGGCAGTCTCCTGAGGTCCCCGCAGCCATGGGGCTTGTGTCGACACAGCCCGGTTCCCTCCCTGCCGAACTACAGATGCTCCATGTAGCTTCCCAGTTGCCGCCAGCCTTGGCCCAACGTGCCCGGGTAGAGCCCGGCACCTGGCGCCTGAAGGCCCTCGAGTCTCCCGGGGCTCCGGCCCTTCCTCCCTCCGCCCAGGGTCCTCGGGGGAAGAGTATCTCTAGCTCTCTAGCTCCTGCCCGGGGGTTCGTGCATGGAGCTGCCCGCAAGGCCCCCACTTCTCCCTCCTGGGCAGGAGGTGACGGGGCCCCACTGTGTGCTGAGCTGGCTGCCTGGCTCGGCCCTCAGCCGCTGCCCTCTCCAGCGCTGGCCTCGGGCAGCCGGCTCAGGCCGCACACACCCGTGGCAGAGAAGCGGCTCCAGCCCCTGACCTCAGTGCCCCTGACCTCAGTGCCACTGACCTCAGTGCC